GATGAAAATATCAGTTTAGATTAAAACAACATTCAGGTTCACATAACAATCTTAAGATCATGTTCCCGGGGTAAATCACTGCAGTGGCTTGTCTGAACTTAGAGGTAGGCATCCTCAGACCTGAGCTACACAAAAAGGCATTGGAGCCCCAAAGTCCGGGGGCTGAGCTATATGATGGAGATGGATAGAGTTCTCACATTTACATTCTCTGCATGGTGCTTACTTCAGCTCATAAGCAGTCACCACACAGTCCCATGGCACTGCTTGCTTGGTGTGGGGCTGTATCTCACCTTGCTACAACCACCACCAGTTCAGACCAAACACTGCCTACCTTGAGTGGTCTCACTGGTACCAGCAATATCAAGGCTGTGTTTAAAATATCACATTCTTTTAATCCATCTCTACATGCCTATAACACATACATTTATTGTGAAAATTAATACTTTTTTGGAAGAAGAAAGCAATATTATGTCTGCAAAACTTATTTATAGTAATTGCCAAATGGTACTTGGGGGATTCTCCTTTTTTAAATCAGCTAATGAGGGAGCAAATTCTCTATCAAAACTGTGAAACAGCTTCATGGTTCTTCTATAAACATTTTGGTGGCACTACAACTCTTGCTTTACTCTCTTCTTCCTAAGCCAGCCCGATTACTTTTTTCTTTTTTTTTTTGTAGTCAAGACTTGCATTACAGGGAGGCATCAGTAGCAGGGGAAGATTTCTGACCATGTATTTTAGAGAGAAGATCTGGTTTTTGATGGCATTTGATGTCTCTCTCCTGGAAAGAGAGCTGCTTTGGACCTTCCTGTTCTACAAAGTTTCCTGCTAGTGGCCCCATGTGGCTTGTTCCCAAGGTTGTTACCTTTTGTGGACTGTGTTTAGCTGGTCCACCCAAGCCACTGAGTATAGGCTGCTACTGATACGGGGGTTTGCCCCCTTTTTCACCAAAAGATATTTGCCCAATCAACTTGCTGGATGAACTTACCCTACTGCCATGGGATGTCTAGATCTAATGCAAAGCTGAGAGAACGGAAGAGAAAATGAGGCCAGGATAAGCATATAAGCAGGGCTGCCCTTTTCAGAGGTAACCTGCCTTTACCCCTAGTGAAAGGGCAATGCCAAACTGCCCACTGTGGCATATGATTTCCTCTCCCTGTAGTTTAGGGATTTAGATGGAGGATTCTCAGTCCTTCTGCAGCTGTCCTCGTGGTGGTGGCCAGCCTGTGGGACAGATGGCCTGGCCATGCTGCAGCTGCTGATCCACTCACGGCATCTTGGGGAAGCCTGGCACCACAGCTGGTTTTCTTTGATACACCCCACTGCCCTTTGCAGCTGCTCCAGGAGCAGCCCAGCCTTCTGGTTAATCATGGGGCAGAGTCCTGGCCACTGGTGGGTGGTGAGCCATAGCCCTGGTCCTTGGGGTGCATCCTTATGGCTCTGGGGAACAGCATCCCTTTGCAGTGTGCCTCCAGCTGTACACATGCAATGGGAGATTTTCTGGTAGGAAAGATGCTGGTGCACCAGTGTGATACTCCACCCAGGATTGTGGATGCCAGGAGTACCATGTTGATAAGAGCTTGTATTCATGGGAAAAAACTGTGGGGCTATTTAAATCAATAAATGGCTCATTGACATCCTCACAACAGCTTCAGATCTATAAAGCTACTTCAGTGAGTTCATATCCTGACTAAATATTGTGCAGTTAGCTTCTCCCTTGTGTACTAAAGTATGACAGCATGATGCCACATTGACAGGGAACGTAGTGCTAGAAGGTTAAGCAGATTTTAAACAAGACCAGAAAGAGCACCCTGTTTTTCTTCGAGTTGGTTATCTGGGTATTTTCAAATTCCTGTGTCTCTGAGTGAAAAGCCTCCTGTGAGGGAGATGTGTGTTATTTTCTGTCTATCTTAAATGTCAAAATGAATTTTAGTTTGAAGTGTTTCATATCAAAAAATAAATGCCTGTTCTCTCAGCAGAAGTATATCATGTTTTAGTGCCCATTGCTCTCAGGTTTTCAATTAGAACTTTGAATCACATTCCTGATTAGTAACAAGCAATCAATCATAATTAATTAGTTAAAATGTTCAACCGTTAAAATCATTACCATTAATTAAAATAATTATCTCTATTTTGGCTGCACTTCATTGCCATTTCAGGGAAATGTGTTGCTTAACTCTACCTTTTGCTCTCAGTATGGGATTGTGGTGACTGAAATGTGTATGATGGGTGGGGGCATGACTTTCAAAAAGCTGGCTTTTGTAGTATGGCTTTAGTTAGCTTTAAATAAGTGTAAGAATTTTAATTGCTATATTTTTAGTAAATATATTTCTCCTTAGCTTAAAAATATATCTAATAGTTGAAAAGATGCAGTATCTTAAATGGCTATTTGAAAAAGAGCTGATAAGTTTGAATGTGATAAAAAGTGGTTGATTAGAGAATTATTTCATTGTAGCTGGATATGATTAATACATTCACTACTCTGGGTATGGTGATTACCTCAACTACAGCACTCCAGTACCTCCACAAACCCCTTGCTCCCCAGCAGTCACTGCAGTGTCATGGGTAATGGTGTGAGACCTGGAGGAGCAGCACATGGTGGATGAAGAGCTCAGAGCTCAGCAGAGGAGGAAGTGTCTTCTTTACAACAACTTCCTGTGGTTGTAAACTGGCTGCAAAGCTTTCCGCTATTGCACGGTTTGCTTAAATTCTGAGCAGCCCAGGAGGGGTTCTTTTGTCTTAGGTACCATCGAATTGTTGAGCACAAAGTTAGTTCTGAAGGCCATCTAGTCCAACCACCCTGCACAAGCACGGTCAGCCAGAGCAGGTTGCCCTGTCTGTATCCACTTGGGTTTTGAACATCTCTGTGGATGGAGACTACACAGCCTCTCTGGGAAACTTGTGACAGTGTTTGACTATCCCTACAGCAAAACATTTTTTTTCTTGTGTTTAAACAGCCTTTTTTGAATTTCATTTTGTGTTCATTCCTCTTGTCACTGGAAATCACTGAAAAGAATTGCCTGGCTACCTCTTCTTTACCCCCTCCCATCAGGTTATTATTCCTCCTGTTATTCCTCCTCTTATTTCTCTGTGCTTCAGTTGTTGAAGATTTCCTGTACTTATAAAAATGGTCAGCACACACTTGGGTCACTTTGGTCTGAAATATGACCTTAATTTCCTGAAATCGTGATTCAGATAGCTGTTCATTGCAAGACCTCTCTGTGCCCACCTGGGACCTTCTGCTGTGTAAATATTTCTTTTATCCATGTAATATCACCTTACAGGTTTGACACTTCTCTATGAGGATGACAGACACAAATGTGCCCTTTGAAAAATCTTTTTTATGTGGAAGTTGGATGATGTCTACCTATGACACATGAATTGGAATAAGGACACTTGAGTTCTGCTCTCTGTCACAGATTTTTAGTATGACCTGAAATGTCTCATTAGCAAGTGACCAAAAGCCTGCTGGGAGTCTTTTAATTTGCCTTAATGGGCTTTGAATTAGGTGCTTAACTTTCTCAGACTCACTGACCAATTTATATAAAGGAGCTGATGTTATTTGCCTATCTCATTGGGCTGTCACAAAGTGAAATACACTACTACAAAGGAGTTTGGGATCACTGAGTAGAGAGAGCTATTCAAGTGCAAAGCATTATATAAACCTTTTGAAGCAGTAATAAAAGTGCTAGCATTTCCCTGAAAAACTATGATTTCTTTTCACCTTTATATTTCTAGAAAGACTTGCCATTTCATGTGTCCCAAAGGAATACAGCATCCTCTGAAGCATTCAGGGTCCAGTCTAGCGTCATATTTCAGTGGCCCATTCCATAGGACAGTGTGAAGGAAAAAACTGCTTCCACTGTGCTGAATTTAAACTCTTGTGAATTTAAACCAAGGTAACAGGGGTGTCTCATAAAGTGTTATGGGAACATGACATGATGTTACAAAGGGAATAGGGAAAAGATTCATACTTCTGTGTTATTTTATAGAAGTGATATTATAAACAGGAGTTTCTGAATATTTATAGAATTAGGTGGAAAGGAGACTTTCCTTTTCAGATAATCAGAGAAAAAAAAAAAAAGGAATAGCTTAACTTTTACCTGCTGCGTATGATACGATATGGAAAAAAATACAGATTTTGTAAAAAAATCATTGTAAATAAAGTTGTAAATGCAATCATTTTCACCCCCTGCTTTTGTCTTTCCTTTTTTCCTCATGTGTTTGCAATAGGATAACTTAGTTTAAAAAGTCTTAATTATTTTTTTTTTGTGTTTGCTTCTGTTTTTGCCTGGGGCTAGATGCAGTTTCAAAATGAGACGGTATCTTCATGTGCATCCAGTCTGACTAAAACCAAATGTACCTCTTTTAGGCACAAGTCTGATATATGTTTTAATCACTGACCAAATGTTATTCAATATTTTGGTATTTACTCTTATTGAAAAAAAAAAAATCAAATCTGGAGCAAAGCTCTAAACTGTGTCAAGTTCAGCCACTGCTATATCATCTCTGTTTGATCTCACTTCCTTGAAGAGTGGTTCCAGGCTTCAAATTGGAGAGGAGTGACCAAGAAGGTTGTGGCACCTATTTGCTGTGAAGTAGCCCTCAACACCAGTTTCCAGTCCAGAGAAGGATTTAAACTTGCACTACAGTCCAGAACACCTGGGCCTTTTCCTAAGCTATATCTTTCTAATTCTGTAAGAATTTGATAATTTGAACAAAAGTGGCAAAGCCTCCTCACTACACACAGCTGCTGTACAAAGGAAGGAAAAATAAGAATTCCATGGTAACTTTTAATGAAATAAGTCTCTCCATATGTTTGTGGTTCTTCATATCTGTCTGAAGTTCATTGTTAAGTTCCCCGGCTGGCTTGTGTGCTGCAGTATCTTAAATACTAGCATTATAAATAATGTCATTGCCAAAAAAGCATTGCACTTTTATAATCCTGCTTGAAGGACCTGATGAGTTGGCAGTAATGAAGAAAGCTACTTGAAGAGCGCAAGAACTTGCTAATCAGATTGTTAATTGAGTACATGAGATTCACATAATACAAAGGCAAACTGTGAAGGTGACAATGATAGCCAGACTTCATCTGTTGAGTTGGAATTAACGATGAACAAAATCAAGATCCCTTTGTGGTTGATTCTTGTCCAGCTGCAGACAACTATAAAAGACCCATCAAAGAAATCAACTCATTAGTTGGTAATTCTGTACAACTTCAAAAAGAAACTCTTAACCCCTCATCAGTCCTTCTCTGACAACCCCTTAAAAGCTGTGTTAAAAAAAAAAATCAAACCAAACGTTATTTGCTTCATCAGCTCAAAGAAATGACCTGCAGGAACATAATGTAAACTGAAGCTTTTAAAAACAGATTTATCCATAGGTAGATCAGTCAAAGTGTAAATATATTGTGACATGCACAATCTCCCCCAGTCACCCATGTCACACAGTGTCAATAGCCTGTCTGCTTCACAGAAAAACTACCCCCAGATTTAAGCAATTTTAATATTGTAACAAAACCTGACAAAACCCAGTGAATTCAGAAATAAGGCTGCCACTGTGTCCTTATTGCACTGTCATTGCATCTGTAACTCTCCCCACTGGGGGAAGTTGCCAAACCAAGGGTGAATTAAGGATTATGTCTGTATAAAGTTGGAAAATAATGTGTTTTCAGGGCAAGGCTTCATAGGATATGAACAGTCCGTTCTGTCGTCTCATTGCCACTGTAACATCTTATTTATCTCAGTGGGACTGCTATGATAAAGGACTGCAGGCCTGGACATTTAGTTTATATTTTTAAGGTTTGATTTTATGAGATAGTATGCAACCCTCAAAAGATATTTTATTGAACTGACAAAAATGCCTATTAAAGCTCTTACAACATCCATCTTGTAGGCTTTCAGACAATCTAAAAAATTATTAGGTATGTGAGTGAAAGATTAGCTTCCTAGGAAGCCTTATTTTGAGAGTCTCATGAATAATGTGTGATTATATAGATATATTAACAGAGGCTTGTTAATGGTATGTTTATTATTTCTGTTTTAAGACTCTGCATGTTGTTTTGTGTGCTGCATTAGGGCACATAACATCTTAGAAAAAAATGGTAGTTGCAGAAAATTAAATACGATGGGGAAATATCCCAGAGATGTTACTTTGATCAACAGTAACCTATGCACTTAATAGTAGACGGCAACTTTAAAATACTTTTTGCTTTACTTAGCTCTTTTCCACTGTTATAATTTGTCTTCCAAATAGATATTTTGCAGGAAGCACTATGAGCATGTTGGTTTGGTTTTTTTTTTAAATTTAGGTAGGAAATTCAATGTTTAGAGGTTTTGTTTGCTGGTTTTTGAGAGGCAGTCTGATGTAATTGAACATGGCCCCTCCTATAATGAGTCTTACCTCTGTTCTTCTGGGGTAACTCTGACAGAGTTTAGAAGAGACATAAAAAAAAAGATGAAAACAAGAAATTCAGTCTGCAGACAGTGGTTTTAGGCCAGCATTCAGAGGCCAGCTCACATTTGGCTTGTAACCACTGAAACCTTTAGTTTTCTCAGTGACAAACACAGGTGACTTCTCCTAATAAGGAACTTTGTTGAATCCAAGATAGGACGAGACCTTTCTTTCCTCACTGTTTGCTAGCTGCTAAAACATGGGTCTCTGCATGATGGGGGTTGCATGACTCCCGTTGCAGAGCCAACGCTGTTCGTAACCTCTGTGTAGAAAGGTGGTGCTCAGAAAACAGAGCAATTGCTCAAGAAGATCAGTTTTGTGTGACACTTGTAATTCAGTTTTATCCCACTTTTTAACCCTGCTTTTCATGAACCTTGTTCATGAAGGCCATCACTGTATTTGAAATCAGAAACATTCTTGGCTAAAAATCTCTATGCAGCAGCTGGAAAGATCTGTGTAAGAGAATGACATTAATGCTTATTCTATGACTAATTATGGCTTATATGAATATGACTGCTGAACAGAGTGGACAAGTGGCATGCCTGAAACTTGAAATAAAATGTTTCTGGTTTATCTTTGGGGATCAGCTTTGAGACTGAAATCCAACGGGCTCTTGATTATCATGAAGATTTTCAGAGCTGCTTGACAGTCCCATCAGAGAGCTTGTGGAGAGCCAAATGTGATGCTTTCACCTGGAGGACGCAGTCTGCCATCTGACTAGCTCTAGCTCCTCAGCAAACACAAAGGAGAAGTGGCAATATTGAGAGAAAATGAAAAGTAATTCAAACGGAAAGAAAATAGGTAAGTGGGCACATATCAATATGAGGGAAACATTTTGTACCATAATGTGTTCCTTCCTGCTGGATTCACAATCCTCAAGCGAGTCTCCTATAATTAACACATTGCTATTATCAATAAATGCTATGAAGTGGGACCAGAGAGAACTGGCAAAGCTGCGGCTGCTCACGCAACGGCCTCCCCAATCAAAGCCGTCTCCCACCACGCCAAGGAGCCAGCGGAAGCAGAAGAAAAAGCCGCCAGGAGTTGGTATTCCGGGTGTGAGGCTCCCGCAGCCGCGCCGTTTCTCCTGGCTTCCGTTCAAGCCATGTTGGCATGTGCTGTCTCTTAGCAACTGCCAGCCGGATGCTCCCGGCTGGCCAGCAGCGACGTGAGGATCGGCCACCCGGCTTCGGTGGTGGCGGAGCCCTGCCTGGCCTCCCCAGCTCTTGGGAATTACCTGTGGGAAACCTCTGTTTTCCATGGAAATAGGTTCTGTTGGCTCAGACTAGCGAACCTGAGCTGATCGTGGCAGCAGAGGGGCACCAGTCATGGCTGGAAAGGCGTAGAACTCTGGATGACATACGTCATAACCCATCTGGTTGCTCCCACCTGATGAAAAGCCTCACTTGGGCTTTACAGCAGCTTCATATGTGGGCTAACACATGTCAGTTCATGATTTGTGCATGTTGAACAAGAACTTCTACAAATGTTACATATGTTACGAAAATATCTACAAAAGTACTTTGCTTTTAATTTTGTTTAATTGCTTGAGCTTTGTTATTTGATTTTGGTTTTCAGGATGTTTTGATCCCCCCTATAGTGGTAGAATTTCTCCCTGTACAGTTATTGATGCTTTATGAATTTTTTTCTTTTTTTTTTCTTAACTCTTATTTTCTCCCAACGCCCTTAATTTTTAAAAAGTTAAGTCCAGCTTCACAGCTCCCCATGAGAGCTGCTGGGCCACATCTCAAAGCAGCAGTGTCCAAAGGCAGGTTATGCAGGTTCTTGCCTTTTTCTGGGCTTGATCTTCACTGTGCTAGTAAGTATCAGCCATCAAAAATGAATGCAGTCCTGCTTATGTAAATGTGTTCCTTTAGTTTAACTTTCCAACCTTGAGTAGTTTTTTATAATCACAATGATGGAGCAATTTAGATATATTCTATCTTGCTATGCAATGTTTTAGAGGTTATTTGAGTGCTTTTGCACACAGCATACTAAATGCCATTTTAGTAGTGAAACAGCTGATAAACCCAAGATTTTTTATTTTTTATTTTTCCTAGAAAGTGCATGTTGTTGGGGAAATAAATATCTTTGCACCATGCCGTGACTCAATGTTAAAAACATCTAGAAAGTCTATAGTCCCTAGGGATCTAAGCATCTGCTTTGCTTTACAATATCTCTTATTAAAAGCTCCTGAACAGGAGAAAATTATGATTGAGATCATTGCAATGATCTAGAATTGACTCTTTGGGCTGTGGTTTCCCCTAAGTCATGCTTCTTACCATACCATCTTCCTGAAAGCCCAAGTAAGAATATTTTCTGGCATCAGTCAATGGAATCTCATTTCTGCTCCCATTGGACCTCTTTACATTTTGATGCAGAAGCTGAAAAGGCTCCCAAAAGCTCTTAGGCTCTTTTCTGCCCGTTGGTGGAAGCTTAATCACTTAACTTGCTCTTAACAATTTTGAAGATAGATTAGTGATTTTCTTATCTCATTTCCTTGTTGAAGGTGGTGAGTGTTTAATAGTACTTGCTGTGGCAAACAGAGTCAAGATAGGTGCAAGCTGAACACATTTGACAAGGCTGAAGAATTCTATTCATACCAGGGAGGGGAAAAAAAAGCCGGTAATTCATAAAGCCTTCAGTGAGTCACAAGGTTTTCCTTTATGGGCAGGATAAAGTGAACAGCTGTTCTACTATATTCCATTTGCTTGAGTCAACAGGCCCATTCTAATAGTTTGTTGATTATCTTACATTTTGTCAATATTGTGTTATGATTTCAGTGTTTGTTTTATTATTACTCAGATTGACAATGTTTTATTTCGTGAGCTATGATGAGATAGTGCTTAGGGTACGATGATAAGAATGATTTATTGTGAATAGCCATTTTAGCAGATTGTTTTGTAGTAGCTACTGCCCTGCTCTAGCTATTTAATGATTTTTGCTTTATGCTTCTCTCTTGTGCCCCAAATCAAAACAATGTTTTTTTGGCAGTCAGTGTTTTAAGCCATTGTCTCTATCCCATGTGGTTGGCTCTTCTTCTTAAGAGGAAAACCATATTGTCTCTCTCCTCTTGAGAGAACTGCTTCTTGTGCCCTAGGAAGTGCACTTGAAGTGTCCTGATATGGAAGTGGTGGCATAGCTCTCTGGGCTGCCACTGCTGCTCTCCTTCATACTTGGGTCTGGAATATGCTGGCGAAGAACTGAGTGATGACATGCAAGCATGGAATATCTCCATCATACGCAGACTCTGTGTTGGAATCTCAGGGGAGAGTGGTGGCCATTCTTGCTGTCTCCAATGGGCACAGTATAGAACTAATTTTGAAGTCCTTGGCTGGTTAGGATATCATCTGTGATGTATGTCAGTAACAGATGCATTTACCTGTTACGGGGATACGAGATGCTTAACGAGTTCTAGAAGACCAGCTATAAAGTACCTGGTGGAAATATAAGAGGTTGCATTGTATAAACATGCAAGGAGGCATGTGATGCAGACATCACCTCCCAATAACTGAATTTAGGTTTTTGTTGCTGCCAATGGAAGGTCATATTTACAGGGTGTCTAAACAAATAATTAGTAAGATTCTGGATCTGAACTTCAATGTGTTATATATTCAGTCCTAACTTGCTTCATTCTGTCTTGTCCCTACTCTATTGGAAACATATGAAGAAGTTCCAAACATAAATGGCACATCCCTAATAAATAAATGATTATGCTGGGAGCAGCAAGAATATTTTCCTGTTTTTTTTCAGGTAGTGTTTTGCAAGTGTTAGCAATTTTCACAACAGTTCAGAATTCCCATACCCCTCTGTGGTGATTTCCCTCAGGCACCCATAAACCCACTTTCTGAAATTTCTTATGCATTTTTAACTGTGCTAGTAGAAATATTCAATTCATTTGATGTGCATAAAGCATACTACATTGTCAAACCATTTTTAAACTTCAGCAGTGACAGTGAGTGCAGTAGCATTAATAATAGTCATGTACCTTGCTTTGCCATTTCAAACTGTCCACTTTATTTATCTAAGATGTTCCAGTATCTTCTATCACTCTAATCATTAACAAATTTATGTTACTCTTTTACCTTTTCATGCTTGCCAGGGCAAAATATGTAATAATAATCTGTAATTAAATCTTCCTCAACTTACTTTATCACTGTACAACTTCTCTATACATTTTCTTCTTTCCACCGTCCATCATATGATGGAACGGACAGAAAGGAAAGATACCGCTTGAGCTGCAAAAATACCCATATGCAAATTAATCTGAAATTAATCTGGAACCCCCTCACAATATTAAATTAACTTTTAATGAAGCTCTCAAATTTTAGGATGTTAAACCTCATTTGGTTGAGATTTGAATAGAGCTATTGATGTTCAGGTTCTGCAGTGATAGTTTGATTAGGAAATGAAAAGGTTTTTGGCTTAAAGTAGCATTACAAAAAATTTGTGTGTTATGGTGAATCATCAGTAATATAGCAATCAGAATGGCATCAAACTTTTCACCTTACCAGGAGTGAAATGTGTTCAGAACAGGACCAATTTCTTCCCCAGTGTTTTCTCTAAGTCAAAGGGAAAATAGGCTTTTCCAGTATAAAGGAACAAATTAGGTTACTGAGAGAAGAGAATGATTTCTAAAATTTTACAGGAACGTGTGATTAGAGTCCAGCTGCAACTTCTGGCTTGTATTCGAAATGAAAGTGAATGTCTTCAATCCAGGAGATTACAGGGAATGTGAAAACGAAAAGCAGGGAGCTTCCCCCTCATTTCAAATACACTTCAAAAGAATGACATAAGTGAGTAAGATTTTTTGCTTCTAAGTTTTGGGGAAATTTTTTCATGATGGAAAGTGGAAGTGGCTGAAGGAGAGTTTCTTTACTAGTTAATATTGTAAAAAGAAACATCAATTAGACTTCCACTTATAGACAAACTTGCTGAATGTTATGAACATGTGACTGACTCTTTTTGTGGGCCATTCCAGCCTCAGAAAA